CCCCCCTTTCTACCTCTTTACTTCAGTCTCTAGTTGTCTTGTCAAATTGTTTTGAACTACATCAGTATTTACTGAATATTCATTTCCCTCCCCGCCGGTATTGTAACTACTGCATCCCTTGTTTTCTCTATTTCTTCGTCTCCATTAGTTTCCCCCTTTTCCTCTCCTTCCATCAGTATCTGCGTCCTAAGTTCTTGCATTTTCTGCACATCCCTTTCTTTTGTCCCCGGTATAGTAACCTTGTTTCCTCTCTATATATCCATCAGAGTTTCTCTTTTTCCTTTCTTCCATCAGTTTCAGTTGACTTATATGAAACTCAATTTAAACTTTGTTTTGAAAATCTTGTAATTTAGAATACACAATTCCCATTTCTTCCGTTAGTCACTTTTGAAATATCATCTGCTTCCGCCATTAATTTATCTCCTTCACTTTCCCTTTCTTGCTTCTTACCCTCCTTTCCTCCTTCCTTCCTTCCTTCCTTCCTTCCTTCCTTCATTCATTCCTTCCTTCCTTCTTTCCATCGTTCTTTCCTTCGTTCCTTCCTTCATTCCTTCCTTCCTTCCTTCCTTCCTTCCATCCTTCCTTCCTTCCTTCCTTCCTTCCTTAACTAATTGCCCTAATTCTCTTTCGCGTACGTCCTGAATTCTAGTGTTTAAGACAAGACACTTCCTATTTCCCCAGTATTGTAACTTCTGAAATAAATACCCCCCTCCCCCACCTTTTAGCTTATCATGCGTCGCAACTTTCCCCCCATAAAACTACGAGTCTTTGATGTAGTGCGCAACAGTTATTTCGTTCTTGTCTACGTGACGACTATTGCAGCTGACGAAAGTGCTTAAAGTGAAGTGATTACTTACCCATCTGGGAGTCGTAATCCCCAATAAAACGTCCTGTTAGAAACCTCACGATCATCGCTGAAGAAGAGACAAGAAAATGGTACTGGTTAGTCATAACATTTGTTTGACTTGTGTACGTGTTAATAGGGTGTGCTGTGTGCTAGATCGTGCGATTTTGTCGAAGTCGAATGGTGTGAATTGTAAACAGTGGTTTCATATGGTCAGCAGCAATGTTGATGATAATGATGATGATGATGATGATGATGATGATGATGATGATGATGATGATGATGATGATGATGATGATGATGATGGTGATGATGATGAATTTTTTTGGTTTCCATAATGGGCTTGGCGGACTCCACGAAGGAACCTACGAGCGAGAGCGAGGCTCTTCTTCGGCTCCATTGTCAATATTATGCTTAGCGGCACATCCACTTGTCCAAATAACTCCATTCGAATTGGACATTCAAACATATTGATGATGATGATGATGATGATGATGATGGTGATGATGACGTGTGTGTGTGTGTGTGTGTGTTTTTTTGTGTGTGTGTGTGTGTGTGTGTGTGTGTGTGTGTATTTGTGTGTGTATGTGCTTTTGCACGTGTGTGTATATATGTGTGTGTGTGTGTGTGTGTGTGTGTGTGTGTGTGTGTGTGTGTCTGTGTGTGTGTGTGTCTGTGTCTGTGTATGTATTGGTCCTCAAACAGAGACGCAGAAGCAAACGAAATTCCATTAACTCACCTACCATTGTCTCACCAGCAGAAAAGGGGTTAATCTAACAGTTGACACAGCATTGGCAGGCTGGGGTTAACTTAGTCACTGACACAAGAGCAGCGATACAAGGGTTAACTTTGCACGTGGTACAATACTAGTCCTTCAAACACGGGGGAGGGGAGGGAGGGGTTCACCTAAGCGCTGACATAACACCTAGAGGCAAGGGTTCACGTTGCTGCAAGCATAATACCCTTCGATATTGGAAGGTGAGGGGTTAACATAGCGGTTGAAATAAAACTATCAAACTACTGGAGGTATGGGGTTAACCAAAAACCCGCTAACCCAACACTAGCAGAGAACCCCTTAATCTAGCTGCTCAAATATCACTCTCAAAAACCAGGATGCAAGAAATTAATCTTACCACTAATACAACACCCTTTAAAACCGGGGATAAAATAATTAACATAGCTACTGATATATCACTGGTCTTGCAGGGGTTAACCTATGTGCTGACATAATATTACATTCTCAAATACCAGGAGGAAAGGAGTTAACTCAGCCGCCGACACAACACTCTTAAACACATGGAGGAAAGGGGTTAACATAACCGCTGATGTCAAACTGGTTGTGGAGGGGTTAACTTTTGTGCTAACATAACACCCTTAATGGGCCTTAAGCAGGGGGTAGGCAAATGATTAACATAGCCTTTGATATAACACTGGTTATGATGGGGTCAACCTAGGTGCTGACATAACACTCTCAAATACCTGGAAACAAGGGATTAACTAAGACGTTAACACAACACCCTACTAAACACTAGGAGGCAAAGGGGTTAATTCAGCCGGAAACACAACACTCTTAAACACCGCGAGGCCAAGGGTTAACATAACCGTTGATGTCACACTGGGGTTAACACCTTTGTGCTGACATAACACCCTTAAATACCAGGAGGCAAGAGGTTAACTCAGCTGGCCATCATCATCATCATCATCATCATCATCATCATCATCATCATCATCATCATCACCGACTAAATAGTTCCCTTTTTTCTTGTTTTGTTTTTCTTGAAACGTAACAATTTGCACCACGTCAACACATTTTTACGTAACCTACAAATATCAACACCGAAATCAGGACACAGGACTCAAAAAAAGAAGAAGAAAAAAAAAAGAAAATAAAGCATCTGAAAAAACCTCAGCCTCTAATACAACATCCTTAAACAGAAGGTTGGAGGGGGCAAGGGGTTAACATAGCCGCTGACGTAACACTGGTTGTGTAGGGGTTAATCTATGTGCTGACGTAACACCCTTAAACAGTAACTCGGGTGTTTTCCCTCCCTCACCAGGTAAATACACACGTGACCGAGCTCAACAGATGATCTGATCCAGCTGTCGAAAGACTTCCAATTTCTCTGACAGGTAGGGCGGCAAGTGGCCACTGCTCGCCATGCACGTATGTGAAGTGTGGGTGTGAGTGTGAGTGAGTGAGCGAAGAGTTTATTACGACGAGTGAGACTTGTGAAACATGAAAGAAAGAACGAGGGAAGCGTGCAAGCCTAGATTCCTAATGCTCTTTGGTTGTCAGAACCACTGTTTCTTCTTCTTTTCTCCCTCTTTTTAAAATGTTTTACTTTTAGCGCGTTCATGTTCGGGTCAGACACGTGTGATGGTAGCATCAATAGTCCAAGTCTATGTATGTATGGTTCAGCATCGTGTTTTGTAACTCCGCTTCCTCAGAATTACAAAATTCTATCTGTTCTGTAACTATTTTTGAGAAATTTGACATAACAAATTTTGAGTTTCACAACACGTCAGGCTTTTTCGAATGCAATTCTTTGAATATCTTGATTACGTCTCCGAAAAATTTTACGATTTTGAGAGAGCAGATAGATTCTAGAGCATTTTGTTTTTAATCTCATGATCTTAGAAATTCAAAAAGGACAGAAATATGAGACAGAAATTGTAATTGTAAGGCAGTGAGTCTGGGCAAACACCCATTTTTGACGAACCGGATGTCTTTAGCGCTCCCATTTGTGATTCAATAACCGGGAAATTCCCATTTGCGGTCCGCTTTCCAAACGTAAAACGTATATTATTATTATTTAAAAATTATCAAGTAATGTAAAGCCAACCAAATCAATAGAGTTTAATGTTTAGAATATACGACTGAAATAAGTCCAGTCTCACATAAAAGCTATATAATATGAAAAAATAGAAATTGTTAAAGAATAATCTAACACTTGTTCATGGTAACATGTTCACTAAAAATACACAAAATCACCCTCCTTTCACCACCCCACCCACACCTCCCACCCCGAAAAAAAGAATTAAAAAAGAATAAAACTACAAATAAAATAAAAACCTTACTTTCCAGACAAAACAAAATCTGAACAAATAAGGGGGGAGACCCTCTTTGCAAACATTTTATGGCTCCGGATGTATGAATCATTTTTTAACCAGGCGTACCATAACAAAAAATATAATATTATTGTCCAGCACTTTGTCACTGTCAGGCAGGTTGAAACGTTTTCTTGAGTGTACTCACGACTTGAGGCTGGACTCAATCAGTAACGTTAGTCAATGTTCGCGTTTCTGTGAGTGGGACTTCTAAGAGTCTACCTACGGCACGTTTGTCCCCCCTCCCCC